TTCTAAAAGGCGTAAAAAATCTCTTAAAATTTTATTATTTTCATTTATTCACACAGGATCGTTTGATGGAGCGCATAATGGCTATTAGCGGACCTACACACGATTTACCGCCGCAGGAGACAACAGAAAAGAAGTTCAGCGGTCGTAATCGTTTGTACATTGGAAACTTAACGAATGACGTTACAGAAGAAGAAATCCAGCAGATGTTTCAACAATACGGCGAAATATCTGAACTTTTTGTAAATAAAGAAAAGAACTTCGCGTTTCTGAGAATGGTAAGATAATACAAACACATTTTTCTTTTTAGTACTTTTCATATTAAGGATGATTAGAATAATTACCGTTTGATATTGAGTGATAATAATATTAGGCTGCATATTTATTATGACTACATATTTCATATATAGATCTTCAGCTGCACTAGCGAGCTGTTATTCAATTGTTATTATTTTATAGGATTACAGGGTAAATGCTGAGAAAGCAAAGCACGAACTGGATGGAACAATGCGCAAAGGTCGCGCACTTAAAGTACGTTTCGCTCCTCACTCGTCTACGATCAAAATAAAAAATCTCACACCTTGGATTTCAAACGAGTTGCTCGAGAAAGCATTTAGCGTGTTCGGTGAAATCGAACGCGCCATAGTCGTAGTAGACGACAGAGGAAAAACTACCGGCGAGGGAATCGTAGAATTCTGTAGAAAACCGTCTGCTCAGCTTGCTCTGCGAAAATGTACAGAAGGCTGCTACTTCTTGACAGCGTGAGTTTTTATTACGACATTTAAATTACGAATAATTTACCCCAACGCCACGCTTGTTCGACGTATTTTATTTATCAGCAAGTGCCTAAGTATAACAATTTTATTGGGGGAGAGTGAATTAATAGTTCCCAGAGGAAGCATGATACGATAATTATTCGTGTTGTGTGCCAAAGGAAGGAACACAGATCATTAATTCAACATATAATTCGATTAGAACGAAGGAATATAATTAATTATGTGCAACGTTTATATCACAGTTCCCTACGTCCAGTTGTCGTCGAACCATTCGAGCAGCAAGACGACGTCGACGGATACCCGGACAAGAATCTGCCTCGGAAGAATCCCGAGTTCTTCAAAGCCCGTGAAATTGGACCGAGATTCGCGCAGGTAGGCAGCTTCGAGCACGAGTACGGGACGAGGTGGAAGCAACTTCATGAGTTGTACAAGCAAAAGGAAGAAGCGTTGAAAAGGGAGATGGCAATGGAAGAGGAGAAACTGGAAGCTCAAATGGAATTTGCACGTTACGAACACGAAACAGAATTGTTGAGAGAACGTGAGTACTCGAAACGATAAAAGAGTATTCTGGATGCATGTGATATACGAGATTGTATTACTAATTCTAATATATGAATCATAGAATTACGTATGCGCGAAGCCGACCGCGAGAGACAGAAGAGAGAATGGGAGATGAAAGAGAGGCAAGCTGAGGAACAGAGGACGCGTGAGGAGGAACTCCGAAGGAGGCAACAAGAAGAAATGGCGATGCGTATACGAAGACAAGAAGAGGAACTCCACAGGCGTCAGCAAGAAAATAATTTGTTTATGCAGGTAAGCGTTCATTGAAAATCTTAAATAATCCTAGCTACGATATCGATACTGAACGATTCCTTTTTATCGGTTCATTCGACCTTATCAATAATCTTGTGCTGTATTTGTGTTTTAGGAACAAGCAATGCGAGGCAGCAGCGGAGGCGGAATGGGTGGAAAGAATTACGATTCTATTAGTAACAGTGATCGCGATGGATATGGCCAACCCGATGGTAAGTTTCAAGAAATACAATTTTTAATTAAAACGAATTGAATATCATGCATATTAATCCTGTATTTGAGTGTCGAGTTGTAATATCTAATTCTTTCGCGCAGCATTAGTATTAGAATTTTTGTTGACCGTGAACTTTCGTTTATTACAGGTGGAAGCAGCATGCCAGTGGTAACGTATCCCTTTACATTATTATTTTATACATTTTTTCTCCATGAGACAATTACCTGTTCTCCCTCAAAAGATATCAGTTTAATTTTTCTTTTATGTGCATTTCTAATTAATGTCACTGCGAGACAAATCGATTACGACTATATACGCGTAAATGTTTTCTTCGAGGAGTTACATTGCGTTCTTGCATGACGAAAGAACCAATATTATTTTGTGGAAGATTCTGCAAAGAAAAAAAAAGAAACGAAGATACGCGGGAGGGACTTTTTTTACAAGTATTTCCATGAAGCATGCTTTCCAAAACGGCAGAGTTATAATGTCTGCAACGATGCCAAACTGTGATATCGTTACCCGCGGTCGTATTTATATTACATCCGTTCTATTCGATCAGTTTTCATTAAGTGGCTATAACATGTGGAGGAGTCAATGGGCATTACTATTCTCTGTTTGACAAGCCATTATTTCTTACGATGTCGCGGCGCTACAATGCTGACTTTTAAATTACTTGATTATTCTCTACGGTCAGGCTGTGCCCTATCAGGGAAATTATCATCTCGGATCTTCAAATTATTAGAAATCCGTCACATATTCAGATCGTAAATCTGCGCCTATCTTACACTATACGTTTTACCCTTCTCAAAATGCTTGTTAAAATGTGTGATAAAATATTTGCTATTAGGAGATTCCAGCATAATATTCGATATAACGAACTGTGAACATTTATTTAAAGGGACATCCGTGTACAAAGTAGTAGGCAATTTCCATTGACCCTGCATAAGAAACAAGTGATAGGCTCTATCGGAATTTCTTCCCTCCGTACTGAAACTTCAGTACATTTAAGTAGGGATCATTTTCATCTACGCTGCCCACGACTAATTATCTGAACATGACCTATTTACGAGACTCACATAAAAGTTATAAACGATATTCATAATTGTTTAAACATTTCGTTGACAACGTCGACGGTGTGATTATTCTACGTTATGGGAAATTTTGTCGCGAAAAAATAAATATGGGGTAACGGTTAATAATTGAAATGCAGCCTTTCACGAGGTATGCATAATGCAAAGATCTAGGCAGTCGATGAATATTAGATAACTGCTGATTAACTCGAAACCATAAATAAATTAATATCTCATGCCACATTGGCCTCTCCATATGCTTGCAGACAGGAGGCTCTGTTTTCTATTCTCTCTAGTTATATTAAGGATTAAGTACGTTTATATACTGTGGAACTAATATATTTCTCAGACACCCCGAAGCTCTTGATTGAATGAAAGTTAATTCATTATATAGTTCCATGGTGTAATGTGATATTTATTAACCAACAAATGCCCAACTTTTAAGTATTAATAGAGAGCAATTAAGTGTGGAATCATACAAACATGGTTTCTGAATACAGTAATATTAATCTTAATTATTGGTAATTCTCAACTGGAATTCGTGGGAAGGCGATACCGTGAACATGCACGATTCTGTGGTTCCAGATATTGAATAAAGTTCGCTTAGAAACCTTGATCACGTTTCTTCGCTACTTTTATCAATATCTAAACCTCAGAATTGCCCGATGCTCGAGCTGTTATACCCTAAAAACATTAACGAAACGCTCCTTAATCGCATGCAACGAAACATTAGATCTGAATCGCAATTTTGCAAACGTGTTAGGCCTTTGATTTTTTATTAGAAATTTGTTTGACGCTTTGAAATAGCTACCAAGAACTTTTAGGACTGACAGAGTAAAAAATTGTTTACTTTCTTAGGAGCCTACTCTTGTACAACTTGTAGAATCACCTCTAACACTTTTTCTGGGATACTCTGTATTTCTAGACTCTTAAACAGTACCGATTGTGGGTCTGTTTCAGTTCTAAAATATACGGTTGCACGAAAGTGATAAGACAGGCATATATAAAATTTTAGGCCACTGAAACGTGACTTGGATGATCCGAGACCGAGAATTGGGGGCATTCAGCGGAACCAACAGTTGCCTAACGTGTTGGGAACTCATCGGTGCATAAAATCCGCTGATCCATTGATCAGTTTTCGTGTCTCACTCTGTTTCACATGTTGAAAAGTCTGAGTGAGCAGCGTTAAAATTACTCGACGATTGCGCAACTGTCGATTCCGGCGAATGGACCGATTGTCACTCGTCAGTTGGGCATTTGCTTGGTTCAATAACGCTAATTTCAATATCGAAGTAAGGCGGCATACAATTCTGGACATTTATATAACATATATATGTGTATATATATGTATGATCATTTGTTTTAGTGCGTGCTTTTATTGCACGTATAATTCGAAATTCTACTAATGTTGTAACGTGTTAAAACAACGTCTAACATTGTGTTTTCCCCTTTCTTTTCTATGTGATTTGACGAAAATTGACGATGACCTGTGCTGCTGTCAAACAATGGATGGTCGCCCTGAACCGTAAAAATGTATTTATGGTACATCCAAAATCTCGCCGTCAAAACACCGTTGTTCACCGTGTAAATCGTTGCCAATTCACCCTTGAAAATTCGCTGATATCTAAACACGTTTATCGAACGCTGAAACTCTCATTCTAACTTAACACGCGCGCGGTTTCACAAATATTCAACGATTGTTTTTTGTCTGCTACGATTAGGATCCGAAGTCTTTCATGGATGCTTATAACAGTATGGATCGCGGTAGCCGAGGGGGGTATAACGATGATCGTCAAATAATGGAATTAATGGACATGAGGGTAGACTTGGGTAACATGGGTGGCGGTCGTGGAGGTAGTGGTGGTAGTGGACGTTGGCAAGGTGGAGGTGATCGGAGTCGTCAAGACGATTATCCTAACAAGAGAAGACGTTATTAAACATGTCGCAGTATTATTATCGATCATTCTCTTTAGCCATCGAGAAGAAAAGAAATTATATTTCTCCGACAATTCACAACATCTTCAATCATTTTTTCCAACGATTTTTGCTATCGGTCATCCTTCATGTTTTGTATTAGGGGAAGGAACGTTTTCGCGAATGCGCTTAGGCAATTAACAAAAAGAAAAAAGGGGGACGTATAATAGCAGTCGGACGAGTATGGCTTTATATATGTTTGACATATATATAAATATATATCGAGATCTCTGACTTTACAACGTTAGTCATTTTTGCCAATTTTATATACAACGCCTGGTCAATCCGTTTTTTGAAATCATTTCATGTAAATAAATGACGATATTAAATCAGATTACAAACTAATCAGTTTGATACATTGACGAATTCTAGAGGAACCTGCGAACGCTTTAGGCATATGGAAAGTGATTAAAAGTCAATGCTAAAAGATTTGGTGTCGAATCTCGATTGCTAACAAACCATAGTAAATTCTTTTATTTTTTAGTAATAATATCGCGATCGCTATAACGTTTTCATTTTCTTCGAGATTGTGTTCGTTCTGTCGAGGAAGGATACGTGTGGCAATAACAGGATTTATATATGCCTGGAGTTTATTTCAGCTAGTAAACATTCGTTACACTAACATAATCATCATTGTCAATTAGGTCGTGTGAGAATTTTACTATACGAAAGACATGTGTAAATATTGAAAGAAAACGAACTAATATATATATATATATATATTAGTTCTTGTTATCGCTGTATCACCATATACCGGATTATTTATAATTTGTAACTTTTGATCGATTCAGCAGTTTTCAAAGCGGAAATGAAAAATATACTCTGATATATCGTATCTTTAGATTTGTACTTTATGATTAAAGAGAGGATATTGAATTTTAGTCTATAAGCGAGAGTGCGTTTAACGTTGGCTGAGAACTAATAGTAGTTATCAGTCAATTTGGTAATTGATCTTTGTATTAATAATTAATATTGCACGGGCTGCTGATGTATGATGTCTATATGAAAGACAATTTTATTTAGCGGATTACATACGTGTCTCCAATTTACGTTTTCAAACGAGATAAATAACGAAAGTACATGCAGAGTGCTCTTCTGCATTACTTTCAGGCTTTATAAAATTAATTATGTTAGAATAAGAAGTGATATCGGCACGGAGGAAGAAGCCCCCCGTGTCGCCTGGACTTTGTGAAGGAAGTTAATTGACAAAAAGTAATTTTATGAATAAAGGTCTATATTACATTCATTTGTAGGAGCTATTCATTTAATTGTCGATCTCCTACGGGAGGATTTTCTCGATATTATATCATATTAGAATTTGTAGCCTTTCGACTAATTATGATTTTCTCTTATATTTGAACTCTAACGACGTTGCCACGCGAGTTGGATAAAATTTTAGGAAATTACTCACTAAACCTCGGACAATTTACTGCGGCTATGAACTTAGAAAAAAAAAAAAATGCCAGGAAGGTATTCACTTCTATGAAACTAATGGATTCTACTAGAATTCTCTGATTTGTCTCTGATTCAAGCGTTACCACAAGTTTCTTTCAGGAGATCTTCGATACACAATGGATATTATGTTACTTTTACGTTTTGAGTTGTGAGTCTACTGAAAACGTTTCATATATACAATTGTTTGCATTTTCTGTTATAAACATTGTTTCTACCGTTCATTTGCCACTTTGGGTTCATGTATTATTCTGTTCGCGTAGAATAGTTACGAGTAGTGCACACAAATTGTATTTGATTAATTATCATTTTAAACAGAGACTTGGTATTCGTTGAACGAAAGATAAGATGTTTTCGTTCAATGAATACGTTCTTATTTAGCGACTGAAAAATATATCCGCAGCGAACGCTTTTGACTCTCACTCAGAAAACACGTTCCCTGAGGAACGCGAGGCATAAAATCTTGTACAAAGAAGTTGCATTTAAATGCGGCTGCTTTATACTTGAAAAGATTTGTATCTCGAAGAATCGTCACTATTTTAAAACACTTATACCTTAAGCGAAACGGAGGAACACGACCTAAGTGTATAAAAATAATTTTTATGGCCATCTATGCAACGTTGTAACTCGTTGCGATTAAATCCATTGATCATCTTTGCCGAAGAAAGCGACTAGGAGTGTACGCGATCACAAAATAATGCACGATAATAATCTGACCGTTATTAATCAAGAATCTCTTAACGGAGGAGAGACTGCGATCACGAGAGATAGGCTGACTTAACTTACTTGAAACTACTACTAGTCAATGAATCTACTGGTACGAGGTGAGTAGATTTTGTGAAACTCTGTTATTATGCGTAATTCTATTTTAATCTTCGGGTGGGACATTTATATGAGCATATGGTAAAGATTATAAAAATATAGCAGTCACGTACCGATTGCTAAATACTTTAAACAAGCTCTTGTATATAATTGTATACGTTTTATACAAGATTAAACACGTTTCGTTTCATTATAATTTTCTATAGATCGTCGGTAATTTTTAATACGATTCTCTGATTGAAATTTCGTCGTTTCATTTGTAATCTTTACCAAGTTACGTTCGTAACAGAAATTCCGATGTATTTAAAGTATCAGGAAAAACAGATAAGGACGTCGATTATCTGATATGACTCGTTTTTGTTAACTGTTTAATGTGTTTTATTCACACTCTGAGCCCTGGAATAATTCTCGCGTAATTATGCTTAATCGTCTTATCGTATGATTCAACCTGTTATGAATCCTAATATTTGTGTAAAAAATTTTATACCAGTCTAGATCGTCTTTTTACCTATGACAACCAAATGCACTTTTACACACAGACTTTAACGAATGGTTGTCTAGGTTCATTAATCAAATCTAGGCTGACGTAATTAGCTGTTACTTAAACGATCTAACTTCTAGGATACGATATCGATTTATATTATATGTCTAGACATTCGTATTCTATTGTATCTACTCGGTTTTTGGGTGGTGAATCTATATGGATCATACTGTAGGATCGCTTGAACCATTTGAAAACGATCAGTGAACTTCTATATACTTCCTGAACAGTATATGAAATTCGACAGGATGAAATCTTCTAATTTATCCCGTCTATGAATATTGATTAATTTTTATTTCGATATACGCTCCTACTCATAAATCTGAATGCCTTTAATAGTGGATTAATTCAGTGCTTCCATCGTCTAGCAAATATTTAAAATAATAGAGAATTACTTCAACTGATAGAAATAATTGAAATTGATTTGAAAATACTTTAAAGTCTGATTTATAATTAATCTGTATAGACTTATGAGTGGGATATTCTACTGCTTCAGATATAGCGTTTACAGTACATGTGGTTTTCTACCTCTCTTTCCATTGTACTCTTCAAAAATAAACTGAGAATTGAGAATTGATTCCCGCACGAAAATCTTAAAAGTTTCTTATTGGGTTGATGAAACATTTACATTGAAACATGTCTTTTACATTCTGGAATAGTTAAATATGATTACTGTTTAACTCATGATCATTTGTAGCTCGTGTATCAAATATCTTTTTTTTTTATATTAAAGCTTGATCGACGCGTTGCCTTTACGGAGAGTATTGATACAATTTCTTGTCTTTGCAGATGTTCATGGCAGATGCCGGTTGAAAACAGAACTGAATGAATTGAGAAACGAAATGGTAAACTTTGATCCTTATTTTTTCTAGTTTTCCTGATTTAATTTTCTTTTCAACTTCTTCCCATATTAAAACTATTTTTCTTTCTTACAGATTTCTATTCTCATCTGGCTTCATCACGAATTCAAAAGAGAAAGGAGAAACGAAGAAATAAAAGTGATCAAGGTTCGTCTGAATTTTTCGTATACACTTGAAAGAATTTAAATGAATTTCTTCACGATGATAAATTAATCAACGAGAGATTTCAATGACTGTCTCAACGTGTTCTGAATTATAACTGCAGTAATTCTATTTTATTCGATGTCCGCAATTGATATTAAAAATACGTATTTATATTTGCAGGAGGGGAGGGATGAACCGAGAGCCCGGAATCGACTGGCTTTGTTTTTGAGGTACTTATTCGAATTGAGAATTTCTTTTATATTCTATATTCTCATATAAGAGTATGATGATTTTCTTTCGGGGCTGAGTTTAGTGACGACGCTTGAAAATTCCCAACGTGTACCATTTTTTCTGAACATTAAATTCATCTTAATATATACAAACGTGAATACTACAGGTTTATTAACAAGAGATGTGTTTATCTGTTACAGGACAGTTCCGAGCGTGAAAGGTGATTCTTAGCAGATAAATTATAATTTTATTTAAAAGTACATTCGCTCTTTCAATTTATACGTGATGAAATCTTGGCTAGAGTCCTGATTAAAAAGATGACAACTACAGTTCGTTTTTGTGCTGATAATTAAGACTTGAATAAGCTTAACAGAATTCTTATAAACTTGTATGAACACGGTATTCCTTTTTTGTTACAGCGTCTTGTGCTACGTATGTAAACAATAAAATTTTAATGAAATACATTGTTGATTTAAAAAGACGAACGATTAATTCCTATCCATCTCCTCCCCTCGCATAATTAGAATAGAAAGAAAGAAATTAATACAAATAATCATAAATAAAATAAATCTATAATACACAATCAGTATACACAAAAAAGTAAATGTGAAACAACGCATCGGCAAATGTAGAACGAAAACAGAGTACTCTGAAAAACTCGATGCCGTACTTACGGATGTATTGGCTATACAGTCAATTCCAAAAGTTTATGCATTTTAGAAACGCATTTTTTAAACAGAAATCAGACGTCGGAAGAACATTGCTAATAAACAACAAAAAAAAATATTCGATTTTTCCGAGATTTTTCCAAGGGGTACCTTTCATCCTAAGCATGATGAATGACCGAGGGAACCACAAATCTTTTGACTGACGGTAATTATCGAAGTCCATCGAAGATCATCAGGGATGTCGCACCGTTGTCATCGTAGGAGACATCGAGGGTGTCCTTTTCGCACTTAGGATGAAAGGTACCCCTTGGAAAAATCTCAGAAAAATCGAAAATTTTTGTTTGTTGTTTATTATTAGCAATGTTCTTCCAACGTCTGATTTCTTTTTAAAGAATGCGTTTCTAAAGTGCATAAACTTTTGGGATTGACTGTATAGTCAATACATCCTTAAACAAAACGTTAGATATTTATTTAAGTATGAACGTACCAATTATTCGTTTGTAAAAGTTGCTAGTATTAAAGCTTCCAGTTGAACGTGCGATCTACGTTATAATTCACTAACGCTAAGGATGTTGTTGCCACGTGTTTTTTTTAGTTTGACAAAATCGTTCTCTGTTTGCAAATCCGCGTTCGCCAATCAGAGCGGTGTACCAGTCCCATTATGCCTAGATTACTTTAACACGTATTATCTTGCGTATAGAATAGATCACCGGTGAAAATTTTTCAAGCGCTCTGATTGGCGCGGTGCTAGGA